GTTGAGTAAAAATTTTCTGATTAAGAAAATTATGATTCTTTATGTGACTTATTGCTAAAAAAATTTTAACCGCATTAGTGTTTTTTTTATGGACGTAATTAATTTCTATCTTAAATGCGAAATTGAGATTGTTTATGCTTGTTACGTCTTGGCGCTTTAAAAAATGTTTGGTATACATATTGTACGTAGAGGGGAACTAAGAAGAACGTAGGTTTATCATTATGTCACAATCATGTCCCGGTATGTATAAATGTATGGAAATACTATCTACAGCAGTACTACTAGTAGTATACGATAGAGCATTTAGTTATAGATAGTTAACCTAACAGCAATAAATTTGCCATTCCATTAGGTCACAAGTTGTAATTATAAATATGTAAAGATGTGTCATTCGTGTTTCTGCTGTGAAGCGATTGTATTTGTTTGGAATGGTAACACCGCCTGTGCTATCGGGATACGCTGTCGGGGCACTAATGAGGAATGATAGGTGAAGATAAAGCAGGTCATTTGGACGATAGTGATGAAATCGTCAAAAATTTATCACGATGGTTTCCAGGGGGAACCGCATGGAGGTCGACCTGTTAGATATTGCTATATTACTAGTAATAGGTCTGTTGGATCTCATTATTAAAAATCCCTATCGCTACTGTATTTCGGTTTGAAGGGTGGGATATGGCAATAAAACTACAGGGTACAGAAGTATAACACCTCAGGAATGAAGTGTATTATGGGCGACACAGTATACTTCGTTATGTCCATGGTACTGTTAATATTGAGAGGCGAAGGTTACTACTTTCCATCAGGTGTGCCGTCAGCTTGTTTGCTATTCCAAGTTAAAAAAAATGTAAATAGAGAACGTACTTACGTAACAAAAAATCTATTAATTAGTGTAAGCAGCTATGTACACGTATTTACAAAATTATTCCGCTATGTTCCCACTACATTCCACAGATGCTTCCACGTGTGAGCAAACGGTAGGTAGATAAGTACCTAATTAGCAAATCTTGTGTAAGTTTTGTCCACATTTTTATTCCGGTCAAACAATTTTGAAGAGAACGTATGTAATCTTGTTGAATTAATAAAATAAAAAAAAAAACAATAATAGAAGGAATTTATACGATTAAAGGATAACGGTAACTTTATGAACTTTAATTTAATAAAATTTCCGTTATCTCGTTAATAATAATAAAAGAAGGTATGCATTATGTACAAAGTAACTTATTAATCCTCAGGAATAGGATTCAATAAAATTTTATTTTAGTAAGATTCTTTTCAAAATTTTATAATCTCCTTTTATTTAAAAAGTGCTTCAAAGCAAGTTCACAACAGAAAAAACAGCGCAAAGGAAATATTAACGTTGAAGATTAGGTTATTCAGTGAAATTAAACAAAACATATCGTAATAAAAGGACGCCCCTTTATTTGCTAATCCTAGTAAATGTATAAAAAACTAATCTCTAATTTAACATTGTTTGTTATTTAAGTGTTAGGAATTTAACGAAGCTTGCGTAAATGACGTGCCAAACGACTATAGCTAATTGAATCTTTCCGATCGAATCGAATCGAGTCGAATGCGTAAGATTGAGTAATCAAAATTACCCGTTAAATTTGTACGATACGATGATACTGCCACAGCTTAGAAAGTAAACGTCTGGGAAAGTGATTATGTGGCGTATGTGGCGTCGAATACCTACAGCTTAAGGAAGCTTCTTCAGCTTAACAAAATATATAGATTAGTCCCATTATTTATAAAAATTAAAAACATCTCATTATGTCATACGTTGAAAATAGTACTATGAAAAACTTATTTAGTTAAAAATATGCTTCAAGCATTATGTTTTTCTGTGATATATTTTTTAATTTTAAAGATAGTGACAAAATATTATAATAGTTAAAATATAGATTTTTTTACAACACAGGGGGCAAACGAGCATACGACTCATCTGATGGTAAGTGACTACCGCCACCCATGATCACCCACAACACCAGCGGCATTGCACGTGTGCTGCCGGCCTTTTAAAAAGGAATATACTCTTTTCTTGAAGGTTGACAACATAATGTCGTATCGGTTCGGAAATACTGCTGCTGGAAGTTGATTCCAAAGAATGGTTGTGCGTGGAAGAAATTTGTAACAGGTTCTAGTTTTTATAAATACCTCTCTTATGAATATGACAACATATTTTATAAAATCAGGATAAAATTTGTTGTTAGTACTAGAGTTATCTTCAAGAAGGCTACGTCAGAAATTTAACCTTTGAGATTAACGTATGGTACCGTGAGATCGTATTACAAAATATTTAATTGTAATTTAGAAATTAGCTACAGTGTTAGAATAAATACTCTATTCAAGGCAAACTTTTTTATTAAATAAAGCAATATAAGATAGGTACTGTTTTTTATGTAATTTGAACAGTAGATTATCTGACGTCGTAAAATGGTAACCTTTGTCACCTATAGATATGAACAGCACCACGAACATTACAGTAGGTATGTGTTGTTTTTTTTAAATGACTATGGTGTTATGCCTCCGTATTTTATAATGTCACTGACACATCCCAATCTTACAAAAAAGAAACATAGCCATACAAATTAAAACATAAGTTGTATTTGTTTTTACTTTAGGCGTCATTAAAGTTAATAGTTGAAACTTATCTACATAGTACATGAACTGTGGACATTCTTTCATGACATTGTTTTGCACTTTTGGCAACAGAAGTGGAGAGTTTCGGTTCACTTCGCGTCCATGTGTCATCGAGCAGAACGTGTCATGGATATTGCTAGAACAAGCACCTGAGTTCGCTGATTTCACGCTGGGGCCAAAGTACTCAGGGACAATGTTACTTTTGGGTATAATTAAAATATTATTGAAGCAGAAAATCTTGGATCGATCGAACCTGTATCGAATTGTGTGAAATCAGCCGTCGCTGTAAAGCTCGATAAATATAGTAAGTGACGTTGCTATTTGTATCTTGCATTGTGGTTGCTAGTTTGCCTGTTAAGCGTGGCAACTACTGGCAAAAGCCCCCAATAGGGAAAGGCGTACGTTCAGCAGTGGACAAGTAGCTAATATGGTATAGTATTATATTTATAAATATAACAAATAAATCGCAAGAAAACATCGTTTAGAAAAGTTCATTCTAAACAAAGATGTAATAACTAAATAATATTTACAGTTCAATTATTTATTACTTATTCTATCATTTCTAAATAGTTTTTTTTTTCAAAAAGGAAAAAATTCTCTATTTCTTTGTATATTTTGTGCGTATTATACAATATCTTCGCCAATTGTGAACCAATATTAATAATTCTCTTACTCGACAGCGTTAACTCCTATGTTGGTTTATATAATAATAGATATATAAATATAAAATTGACACGATTATTTAAATATAATTACAAAACTAGTTATCTAATATTCAGTAGACGGTTTATTTTATTCAGACAAATCGAAATGAACTCACAGAGGCACCGGTATTCTCACGTGAATCGAGAATGATTACTATCACTTTGAATCGAATGGAATGAATGAGCTCTAGTGGAGTCGTTTCTTCGTGCGTAGCTTTTTTTTATGCATGATATAAAAAATCACGATAGGAAGAACTACAAAATACCGGTGCTGAAACGGTATACTGGTAGATAAACATCGATTGTTCATTCGAAAATGATTACAGTCGTTACACTTTGAATTGTGACGATCTTTTTTAGTGTACATCTTCTAGTATTTCATTACATTGTGATGAACGATTGATATAGTATTATTTACTAATTGAGCTGCTATTACTCTATGTGAAAATGACCTATCTCCTTACAAAAGACTGTGAATTTATTTTTGTTTATTATTATTATGTGTGCTCGTATTTTTATAATGGATTTATGCTTATGTACTTATCACATTTTGTATATGTTTAGACCGTGTCTATGTGGCACTCAATTCTGTCTACTTCGCAAGAAACTTGGTGAGAAGATAGACGGTAATTGTTTAGATTTATTATTATTATAATCGTTGCTGGGCATAGGAGTCACTCTCTATCATTGTTCCAGTCATTTATTGTTTACTGCTAAAAATAGGTAAGTGATCTATGTATAAATACCAAAGATTACCATAAGGTATGACTCTGAGCTATCCCTTTATTAGGAAGTTGTCAGGATATTTCAGACCAAGATATGATTAAATTCAATTATTGCCAAATATGTGTCAAACATATCAGTTATTTTAATTAGATATTTTCTAAAGATACTGTGAAAAATCATACAATGTATTATTTAAAATTCTATGGTAAAACAGAAAATTATTATATTGCAAATCTGAGAAACGACTCCAGAACAACTTTTATACAAAATTATTTTCTTACAGTACGGACCGTAGGATATTTTGGTTGAATGAAAATAAAACCAACTTTTTTCTTAAAATTTCTAAACCATTAGTCTATACTTTTTGGTCAAATTACATACTGTTATTACGGTCTAACGATGGCTCAATCTACGAGTAGGTAACTATTGTAATTTATTATCACTATATAAAGTTAAAAAAAATGGAAAAGTGATTTCAGGTAGCAATAATGAAATGATCAACTAGTTAGACCATCCGTGGAAAATTTTTGTATATGTATTCTTAAATTTCTTTTTTTCGAGTACGTACCAATATCCGATGTTATTTGTATGCTATAAGTAATGCAAATTATATATCTATTTATCTTGATCAGTATATGAGTAACAGATTCAGAAATAAAAATTGTAATTGTAAATTAAAAAAAAGAAAGAATTTTAGAATTTGTTGGCGAAGGGTACGTGTGTCCCATACAAAGAAAAAGAAGTATCTACGTGTATGGTAGGAAATTTGCAAATGATTGATTGCAATCTATAATTTGAATTGTACCTATAGTAGATACAAAAAAATAAAGCTAGAGGCCCCTAAAATTATCTGAACAATTCCGACACAAATTTTAAATGCAATAAAAACAGTTTGTTTACCAGAAAAAAAAAAACCAAGGAAATAAATACCTCATATATTTCCTGTGCTCATTCACTGGAACAAAATATTCATCGTATGGGTTTGTGGTACTCATATCGACTTCCACGTCTTTTTTCTTTGCATTTCCATTTTTAGGAGTCAAATTTATCAGTTCAAGATTTACTGCTTCCAATGTTTTGGCATCTCCGTTTGGTTCCTTGGTGTGGCCGTTTTGCTGTGGCCCGTTCGATGTGAAAGAGTCGTTGTGGTTTTGATCTGACTCGTCATGTTGGTAAGCTCGATTGTCGAAGGCAGCTGGTGACGGAGGGGATGGTGGTCGGTGCTGGGGTCTAGGAGGGTCTCGCGGCGACGCCGATCTACTGTTGCTATCCATTATTTTTGGGGCGGACTGACATCTGTAAAGAAAAATATTTAATTTATGACACTGTTTTAGTAGAATATAAGATATAGTACTACTACTATATACAGGAACTACACACTTTATAACTATGTATCATGACATATCATTGTGTTAATATAATATATATATATATATATATATATATATATATATATATATATATATATATATGTATTTTGTATATAACATTATTTGATATTATATTATTATTGTATTAATTTACATCAATAGATTTATTTTTTTCTTTTTTTACCTAATGGTTTTCATAGATATATTTCAGAAAGTCTAATTTAAAATCTTGCATATGTTTTATCTTGATACGCCATCTAGAAGCAGTGTACTTCATTATATTCCTACTTCTGAAATCTACGCGTATGAAGTAGCGGGCAAAAAGCTATATAGTTTGTAAATAAAAAAAGTACAATTTTCGATATTCACGTAATATAGGTTACTAGAGTTGACGAGACGAGTTGTACGAAGAGTATAGTCACAAGTATAGTTCCCTAGTTACCTAGTACATAAAAGAGACAGTTCGTTTATAAATTGGTCTAAATAAAAAACCACAAGATGAATTCGTCTCGGTCGACTTTTGTCGGACGAAAATAACACAATACAATTTTGAAGCGGTTGAATTATACTTAGGAAATTAGGTTCCATTCTTACTTCCTACTAATATTATACGTGGTAGTTTGTATAGGTGTATATATTTGAATATTTGTTACTTTATTACATAAAGATTTGTATGTAGTATCACATAGGATATAAATCAAATAATACGGAAAAATAAAAACTAATTAAGAACCTCCTACTTTTTGACGGAATTTCCTGGTGTCCAGTTCCGACAATAATAGGTACACTAGAAGCCATACATGACGTTAATTCGACTATAGCTACTAACATACCTAGTAACACCACTATACAATTAATTTAGCAACAAATTCACGCCACATTGTATGTTATTTCCAAACAAACATCAATGTCGTTTACCTAATACACAGAGTAATTAAGACAAAACATGAATTCCTTAGCATGTAATAACCGCCAAAGCCCTCCTTGAGACTTAATATTTATAAACATTTCGACAGGCAAAGGAATTTGTTGGTGTTCAATTATCAAGCTAAAAATTAAGTAATATACTTGATAGGTTGATCGTAGATAAAAAATAATAGCACCTATGTATGTAAATAGTAATTTGTTCGTTCAAATGGTATACTGAGATATATTGAGTTTAAATTTTTGAAATTTAGATTATATAGATAGAGCATTTAGTGTCAAAACAGATTAACACTGAGTCAGCCAAACCTTACTTCAGCTGACTCAATTTTGACAGATTTATATTTTAAATCAAAACAAATTGCGCCATTTTTCAATGTTAATACGTAATAATAATTGGATTAAAAATTTCCTCAGTACTATTTTTAAAATTGAATGAAATGAAACAATTTTTTCGGCTATAATATAAATATACATCTGTACAATTGCTTACAAATTATCTTGTATGTATTAATTGAATAGGCTTTTAACTTTAATACGAAATTATATTTTAAGTTTATATTTAGATTTATATCAAAGTTATCACCATATAATCATAATAAGTGTTTATCGTGTTATTTCAAAAATATTCGTAAAACAATTATATTATTTTTATGTATACTTTATAATTTCTCTCATATATTGAGTAATAAAAATATATTATGATGACCCTATTTATGCACACATGAATAAAAATGTTGAGCTGTTTTTGGCGAACTATTTGGATCATCAGTAGATTATCTATATACTTTATGGTTTAAAGTTTATAATAATAGTTTAGTCTGATCTGATTTTTCGTGTTAGATACATATGACGATGACTTTAAAATCATTATTCTGCTGTATATTTTTGCCATTTCGTATTTAGTATTATTATTATTTATTTAGGTAATATAATGTTGCTATGTAAGGTCACGAATATTTGACCCTTGGGTCATTGTTTTACACCAGTAAGAGGCAGTTTACCTTGTTGGCGACACGTCAATTTTATTAGGAATAAGGACAACAACTAATAAACTTACATTATAATCCAAGTACAGTGTAGGGCAGAATTACTCGAATTAAAAACAATTTAACATTTTGGTACATTTTGTGTAGCATTTGTAGCACTGAATTGTATAGAATTCAAAAAGAATCATCAAAATTACCACATACCTACTTTGCAAAGGCTTAACGCTCCTTTTTGTAGTATTGTCCATTCAATTATATTTTTTTTTATATTTTCCAGAGATAAAAAATACCATACGTTCACGATTATATAGTCAGTTATTTATTAAAATTAATAAATCAACGTTTTCAGAGGTATACGTAAAGTGCATATTATATTTATTTTTAATACCGAATTTTGTATATTAATATATAACTTATTTAATTAATGGTTTTGGTTCTATCTTCACCTAGAGTGATTCTATTTATGTATACTTCAAGTATATCTAAGTATTAACATCAGACAGTTGGATCAGTGTGTTTATTAACATCTAGTTATTTGCATTCTCACCTTGTCCTATGTTTGCTAGTATTTCTAGGTTGATCCAACACCAAAGATCTGGTATAATAGTAGCGCGCATGAGCCGACCTTGAGGTACGAGGCCTTTTTCTATACCTCTCCACCCTTACTAAGTTCCCTCCACCGGGCATCTTGTTTATTCACTCACATTTTTTCGGTTAGATAAAGAAACAAAATTTTGTCATTTTTATTTTTTAAATCATGAAATGTGCATTTTAAGGCAAATGAATTACATTGATTCTGCCCGTAGCATTGACGTGCGAGCTCACCGACGACACGATTCACTTTCAGGTGACAAAGAAAATAACCATGTAAACAATAATATTATTGTAGCATCCATTGTGTACACAGGATGCCCGTTTAACACATTTTGGTTAAAACTGCACGCGTGTGTTTGCACTTAGAACAAGGCTTTACTTTGTCTCGGTCGCTGTATATTTTTTTATAGCAGCTACAAGGGATCTAGAAAATAAAAAGTTTGAATGGTTAAAGATTTCACTTTATTATCAAAAAATAAAAAGTAATTACAATTGTAATTTAATATAAAGACAAAAAAGTCTATAAATTGCATAAAGAAATCTGTTCATAATAGACAAAGATGTAGCGTAAACATACACACAAAAAAATATAGAACTCTTGAATTCGTTTAAAAAGTTAGTTTATTTTGTAACAAAATTTTAAGGCACGATATATCCAATATCTGCTGATATTATAAAATAGTTGAAAAAAAAAAAGGAACATCCTATGCAGATGCACTATAATCAACAAGATGACTTCATGCAGAAAGAATATCATGCGACGTGTCATTCGAAGAATAGCCTTTGATAGTGGCATTTATCTATAAATGTTGTGTACTGACCATCATTAGGTATACTTAGGGACCATTGTAGATTGTCTAATTCCCATGCATATTTTATAGCGCAGTCTTGGTGTCATGACACTGTACGCGGACAATGTGAAAAGGCAATACTTATTGAACACGAGGACAAAATTTGGTATATTCAACAAAATGACAATTTTATAGTTTCATTTCTTTATTCTACTCGTACTAATGTTATAATGTGAATGTTTTTTAAGACGTTTGTATGTTTGTTACATCACACTTAAACGACTGAATGAATTTGAATGAAATTTGGCATACGGGTAGGTTATATCATAACTGTACACATAAGTAAGGATACTTTATATACTGATTTACACGGGAAAAGTTGCGAAAAATGGCTAGTACATCATAAAGATATTTAGTAATTTATTTAGGAATTATTTGCAGTTGTCGGTCATTGTTTTTATCAAAATGTACTTATTTGAATGTATTTAGTAATAATAATAAAGTTGTGGTTATTTTCCAGTTTATCTGTGAATAAAATCTATAAATTATGGCGCACCTATTTTCCGTAGGACAAGAATGTTAGATATCTGGTCGTGAAAGGCTGTAAGCTCGTAAACCTGCGTTAGATTCTAGTATAACCGCATTTCACGTTAACGTTGACATACTACGTCATTTGTTGATGTCTATGTATATATATATATATATATATATATATATATATATATATATATATATATATATATATATATATATATATATATATAATAAATAATAGAAAATATATAAATGTTAATGTCCTAGAGAACTATATTTAGAGTAATTTAATTTAACTGACACTTTTATACTATTTATCTTGGATTGTCATAAGTGTATGTAAACAGTGGTCGTGTTTTAGCAGTAATCATTTGTTACAGACTGTATTTGTTATAAACAAAAAACAAAATAAATCCCAGCAATTAAAAAAATACAAAATAACTTGTTTATTTGATACTTAATTAGAAACAAGTATTTCTTTCTCGCTTGTTAGCCGAGTCTAGACAACTGAATAATTAGCTTAGTACATATTTTTATGAAATACCTAAACAAATTACGTTTCAAGGCTGTACAAGATTTCATTGTAATGTTGCCAGCTTTGCAACGAATTGCTGGCCAATAAATACTATTCATGAATGAGAGCATGTAATCGTTTGTTGTTGATGTTAAGAAATATTGTATTTACTGGCACTGTCTGTTACTATAATTGTATGAAAAATCTGTGAAAAAACAATATTGAATTACTATCAAAATAAACACTGTAATCTTTAATGGAATAAATACATTTGGTAAGTATGAGATTTTGTCTCTTGGATTAGATTGCTGGAGAGTTAATTAGAAATTAACATTGATAACGTTTGGGTATAGATATAAGTGAACCATAATAGACAACAAAGTTTTTATTAGCAACTTGATAGATAAATCAGTAATTCATGACGGTGAAATAAGAGTTCAAATTAAAATTTTGAATGTGAGTAGACATTCTTGTGCGTGCATGCGTGCGTATGTGTGTGCGTGTTCGTGTGCGTATGCGTGAGAGTATGTATGTGCGTGTGTAAGTTAGCATTTTGGTGATTGTTTAAGGTTGTCAATTT